TCCCTCTCCCTCCCTCCCTTGTTTAGGCTTTCCATTTGTCTATTCATCTTTTGAGGGTCCCACCCCTCCATGGATGCCCCTCCCCCCCTCTCCCTGTTAGGCTTTTTGTTTGCCTATGAATCATTTGTGGAAAAAAAGTCCCACTTTTGATTCCAACCTGGGGGCTCAGCTCCGTCCATGTACCGCTCACCTTCCCCCCCTCCTCCCCAGTGTCCCTCTATCTATATGCTCTCTATTTTCTCTTCTAACTAGCTGCCATTCTCTTTTTCCCAACATATATGACTCCCCCTCCTCCTCTTCCCATCCCGGGATCTCTATTCTCTGCAGTTCAAATTTATTACAGAAGTCTCTCATATCTTCAGGGGATCTCAAAAATGCTGTGACTCCATCTCTCCAACCGATTAAACATGCTGAACGACCCCATCTATATTGCACATTCTGTTTCTTCAACAATTCCAATAATGGTTTCAATGACCTCTTTCTTCTCAATGTCTCGGCTGCTATGTCTGCAAAGATTTGAATATTTTTCCCTCCATATTTGATATTTGTTCTTCCTTTAATCTTCTTCCATATCTCATCTTTATCTCTATAATTATGGAATTGAACGATTATATCTCTTGATTTTTCTGGGCCTTTTTCTTGTTGGGTCTTTCCTATCCTGTATACTCCATCCAATTTAAACGTCTCCGCACCAGATCTATCCATTATGGAGTTCAAAATTTTGCATGTGGTCTCCTTTAAATCTTTCCCCTGTAACAGCTCTGGGACTCCTCTTATTCTAATATTATTTCTCCTTTCCCTATTTTCTTGATCCTCCATCATATAAGAGCAGTCTTTTTTGTTCCTTCCGGGTATCTATTATCAATTTCTCTAGTTTTGGGATAATTTGGGTGTAGTATTTAACTGTTTCCTCTGTTTCTTCCACTCTAGTTAACAACTGTCCCATTTCTTTCCGAATTATCCCTATCTCTTGCTTTATAGATTTTTCCAAGTTTTTAAACATCTCCGCCATTTCCTTTTTATTTGGTATTTGCAGTTCTTTTTCAGTTTCTTCCAGCTCCATACCGTCTATTGTTTGTTGGCTATTGTTAACTGATCCCAGGGAAGATCTTGGGCTATTATCTAAGCTTATTTCCAGTTCACTCCTTTCACTTATTTCCTGGGATCTTACTGGAGTCAATTTCCCCTGCGACGTAAATTTTTTTATCGTTCCAGTTTGGGAGTTCTTGGACAGATTTCCTTTACTATTTTTTCCTTTCATGTCACATATAGGATTTTTAAGGCTTTTTAAGACTCTGGGGTATATATTTAAACTGTCACTTCTTTCTTCCAATCCTTCAGACCCTCTCTGGGAACCCCCTTCTTGTTTCTTATGCTGGATATCAGATAGCCTATAACACAGTCTGAAAAGCTATCTCATAGGGAGACCAACAGCTCTCACTCACCCTCCTCTATGGAGCAGCTTCCGAGTTGCAGTCCTGGATTGCCCTGTCTCCTGCGACCGTATCCTCCTCTTCCAGGGGATTCCCTTGGGTCACTTTTTCCTCTTCTGCTTATGCTCCAAGATACCCCTGGGGACAGCTTTGCAGTGACTGTCAGCGCTTCCCCAGCCTCCTAGGATGCCGGCCAGTTTCTCCCTCTCCCAGCTGTCCACCGCGGCAGCCCACGTGGTGACGCTGCTCCTCCTCGTCGCCCGGCAACCCCACGCTCTCCCCGGGATTACCGCAGGCAGACCTCAGGAGAATGGCAGCCTCGACTCTCTGCTCCCAGACAGACCACCGCCGGGATCTCCCCCTTCTCCAGGTTAGTCTCCAGCAGCCCTCCAGCGCAGCTAGTTAGACCCTCGGGACACTTTAGGGAGGATAGGTGGGGGAGGCTATCGGAGAGTGCCTATTCCCCGCTCTCCTGTGCCGCCATGTTCAGGCTCCACCCCCCTCGCTCCAGCCAGCTGTGTTGCTTCTATCACCCCCAACCTACTCCCCCCCCCCCCCTTCTTGACCTGCAGGGCTGCATGCTCGGATAAGGGTCTGGAATGGATGGGACCCCCAAGCAATTTTTTTTTTTAAATTTTGGCGTGGGAGTTCCCCTCAAAATCCATACCAGACCCAAAGGGCTTGGTATAGATGGGAGGGGAGACCCCACGCCGGATTTAAAATTATTTTAATTGTTGACAATTTTTTTACATTCAGCTGTCAGGGGAACCCAGCTGACAGCTGAAACATTAACACATGGTTGTCACTACTAAAATACTGCATGACTTGATAAAATAACTCATTCGGTATTTAATAGCGTTTACTTTTTTCTGACCTCCAGAACAAATTAATTGGTTTTCAATGCATTCCCATGGGAAACGGCATTTCGGTTTACAAATTTTTCACTATACGAAAAGTCCTGCAGAACGAATTAAATTCGTAAACCGAGGTATTACTGTACATGTAAATTAATTGGTTTACGTGGAAGTTATAGTGTTTACAAATGGCGGTATATATACTGGAATTTTATTTTAACTAGTAATGGGGGCAGTCAGTGACTTATCCAGGACTGCGGCAGGCATTCTGACACTGGGTGGGAACTAACTGCCACTGACATCCCAATGACACTAATACAGTGATCAGTGATAATAAAAAGCACTGAACTGTACTAATGACACTGGGCAAAAAGGGGTTAACATCTGGGGCGATCACAGTTAATGGTCTGCTGTTTAACATAATGTGCTGTGTGTGCTTTACTATGGAAACCTGCTGCTGCTGTCAAATACACAGCAGCTTGTTCCTGCTGGCCGGAGAGAGACCTGTGTTTACACACAGGTCTCTCCCCTGTCAGTGTTACTCAGTGATCGCCAGGTGGGAATCTCAGGCCGGGACCAGGTGACTGACATCTGTAGCCGCCAATAGCGGCGCAGGTAGGGTGACGCGCGCGCCCCCTGCCCGGAGATGCAAATCACATATATAAAAATGATTTTGCGCAGCCCTGCCACCCTGTAGCAGTAGTTCCACTATAGGGCGGTGGGGAAGCGGTTAATAAACTTCTCAATGGATAATACAGAACACACCAAGGCTATACTGCTGGATCTGGCTGGTTTAGGGATTCAACATCTCCATCTTTCACATACATACAGATACATACATACATACATACAGGGGTAAAATAAGTATTGAACACGTCACCATTTTTCTTGCTAAATATAGTTCTAAAGGTGGTAGGGACAGGAAATTTTCACAATGTCAGTAGCAACCCATGCAATCCATACATATAAAGAAATCAAAACAAATATTTTCAGAAATCAAGTTATGTATAATAAAATTGAATGACACAGGGAAAAAAGTATTAACTGAAATGTATTTAATACTTCATACAAAATCCTTTGTTGGCGAGGACAGCTTCAAGATGCCTCTTGTATGGAGAAACTAGTCGCATGCATTTCTCAGGTGTGATTTTGGCCCATTCCTCCACACAAACAGTCTTCAAATCTTGAAGGTTCCGTGAGATTGGCTAGGCCATTCTAGCAGCTTTATTTTTTTTTTCTCTGAAACCAATTGAGAGTTTCCCTGGCTTTGTGTTTAGGATCATTGTCTTGCATCATCCTAGTAAATGGCAGCCTGTTTTTATCAAGAATGTTTTGGTAAATTTTTCCATTCATCCTTCCTTCAGTGATGTGAAGTTTGCCAGTACCATATGCTGAAAAACAGCCCCACACCATGATGTTCCCATCTCCAAACTTCACTGTTGGTATGGTGTTTTTGGGGTGATGTGCAGTGCCATCTGACCAAGCATGGTGTGTATTATGGCATCTAAAAAGTCCAATTTTGGTCTCATCTGATCAAACTATATTCTCCCAGTGTTTCACAGGCTTGTCTAAAACTTGTGCAGCAAGCTTGAAACGAGTTTCAACATGCATTTTCTTCAGCAATGAAGTATTGCATGGTGAGCGTGCATACAGGCCATGGCGGTTGAGTGCATTACTTATTGTTTTCTTTGAAACCATTGCACCTGCTAATTCCAGGTCTTTCTGAAGCTCTCCACAAGTGGTCCTTGGCTCTTGGACACCTCTTCTGATAATTCTTTTCACTCCTCTGTCTGAAATCTTGTGAGGAGCACCCGGTTATGACCTGTTTATTGTGAAATTATGTTCTTTCCACTTCTGGATTATGGCCTCAACAGTGCTCAATGGAACATTCAGAAGTTTAGAAATCCTTCTGTAACCAATACCATCAGTATGTTTTGCAGCAATAAGGTTGCGAGCAACTTGAGAGCCCTTTGCTTTTTGTGTGACACCTTGGTAATGAGACACCTTGACCATCAGTGGAGACTGCACCAGCTGATAATAATTTGAACTGATAAGGGGCGGGATAGCTAATTACTCCGACTTCACCTGGTGTCTTGGCTTTCCATGCTTATTTTGCACCTCCCTTTCTTCAGGTGTTCAATTACTTTTTCCCTGTGTCATTAAATTTTATCACACAACTTAATTTCTGAATTTATTTGTTTTGGTTTCTTTGTATGTATGGGTTGCATGGGCTGTTACCAACATGTGGTGAAAATGTCAAGTCAATAACACGTTTAGAAATATATTTACTGAGAAAAATGGTGACGTGTTCATTATTTATTTCACCTGCTGTATATGTAAGATGAAGAAGAGGATAAGTAATTTATGGGTGAAAATCTGCCTTCACAGTTTCTAAGTGCACTTTCTATTGGGAGCAGTTAAATGTGTGCAGATTTCTCTTTTAAGTTAAGTACAGGTCTCCCTGAGAATTTGCAAACTTGAATTTGAGAGACTTGTGAAGTGTTAAAGGTAAAAACACATTAGCTTAAAACAAACACATATTCTTAACTGGGATAGTGAGCAGTAAGAAAATGAAGATTTGGATCAGTGTGCTGCTTGCATGCGCACACAAGTGTCTGATAAGAAAAACATGCATATGAAATTTCTTCAACTACATTCTTAAGATAACATTTGGAAAAAAAAAAAAAAAAAAAAAAAAAAAAAAAAAACTTACCCCATCTTGCTCCTTTGCCCTCTAAACATCTGTCCAGCATCTGATGGTCTTTTACCCAGCAACTGGTCATGATTAGGATCCACAAATTTAAAAACATGTGAGGACCCAAACTGCACCTTCACTCCACTGTGTAACATGGTGGTTTCAGTGATACGCTGATCATCAACAAAAGTATCAGCATCAATACTTCTGGGGGTGACGGTAACTACTCCATCCATATTTGTAAGATCGCAGTGATGAGGCTGTATGCCTGGGCCAAACAACTGTTAAAAAAAAAAAAAAAGTGTGAATGGAATAAAAATAGCCTACAACTGTAATACAAAACTATTTACTGTTACTTGATTATATTTCTCAATGACCCTTTGAAGGCTGATATTTTAGCTACAGTGGGGATCGAAAGTTTGGGCACCCCAGCTAAAAATTTGTATTAATGTGCATAAAGAAGCCAAGGAAAGATGGAAAAATCTCCAAAATGCATCAAATTACAGATTAGACATTCTTATATGTCAACAAAAGTTAGATTTTATTTCCATTATTTACACTTTCAAAATAACAGAAAACAAAAAAATGGTGTCTGCAAAAGTTTGGGCACCCTGCAGAGTTAATATCTTGTACTGCCCCCTTTGGCAAGTATCACAGCTTGTAAACGCTTTTTGTAGCCAGCCAAGAGTCTTTCAATTCTTGTTTGAGGTATCTTTGCCCATTCTTCCTTACAAAAGTCTTCCAGTTCTTTGAGATTTCTGGGCTGTCTGTCACGCACTGCTCTTTTAAGGTCTATCCATAGATTTTCAATTATCTTGAGGTCAGGAGATTGTGAAGGCCATGGCAAAACCTTCAGTTTACGCATCTTGATGTAATCCCCCGTGGATTTCGAGGTGCGTTTAGGATCATTATCCATTTGTAGAAGCCATCCTCTCTTTAACTTCAGCTTTTTCACAGATGGCATCAAGTTACCATCCAAAATTTGCTGATATTGTATTGAATCCATTTTTCCTTCTACTCGTGAGATGTTCCCTGTGCCACTGGATGCAACACAACCCCAAAGCATGATTGATCCAACCCCATGCTTAACAGTTGGACAGAAGTTCTTTTCATTAAATTCTGTGCCCCTTCTTCTCCAAACGTACCTTTGCTCAAAGTTCAATTTTAACCTCATCGGTCCCACACAACTTGTTTCCAAAATGCATCAGGCTGGTCTATATGTTCATTTGCAAAGTTCAAACGATGATTTTTGTGTTGAGGATGTAGAAGAGGTTTTCTTCTGAGGACTCTTCCATGAAGACCATATTTGTACAAGTATCTCTTTATAGTGGAATAGTGTACCACAACTCCAGTGTCTGCCAGATCTTTCTGGAGGGATCGTGCAGTCAAACGTGGGTTTTGAATTGTTTTTCTCACAATCCTGCGAGCTGTTCTGTCTGATATTTTTCTTGGTCTTCCAGATCTTGCTTTAACTTCCACTGTTCCTGATGACTGCCATTTCTTAATTACATTCCGAACAAAGGATATTGACATCTGAAAACCGCTTTGCTATCTTCTTATAGCCTTCTCCAGCTTTGTGAGCGTCAACTATTTTCAGTTTCAGTTTTCTAGACAACTGCTTAGAAGAACCCATGGTGCTGATAGTTGGGGCAAGGTCAGATGAGTCTGGGCATTTAAAACCTTTGAGATTGACATCACCTGGTCTTCCCAGACGATGATTGAGAACAATCCATGACACTGGCAGGTCTCAGCTTGGCAAAGGGGGCAGTGCATGCTATAAATTCTGCAGGGTGCCCAAACTTTTGCAGACGCCATGTTTTTGTTTTCTGTTATTTTGAAAGTGTAAATGATGGAAATAAAATCTAACTTTTGTTGACATATTATAAGAATGTCTAATCTGTAATTTGATGCCTTTTGGAGATTTTTCCATCTTTCCTTGGCTTCTTTATGCACATTAATAAAATTTTTTAGCTGGGGTGCCCAAACTTTCAATCCCCACTGTACTCTTATAAAAAGAAAAAGTGAAATAGGATTTTTCTGTGAGATACAGCACTGTAGATTCAAATAAAGATATATATATATACATATATATATTAGCGATCAGCATACATGACTACAACAAATTTGTCAGAAAACCTTTACTTAAAGCGGAGTTCCACCTGAAAAATAAAAAGTCAGCAGCTACGAAAACTGTAGCTGCTGACTTTTAAAATACAGCCACTTACCCGTCCCTCGGTCCAGCAGTGTCCTCACCACTGCTGGTTTCACCAGCCGTCGTCTCTCTCTGGCTCTGGCATCTTCCCTGTGGGCACCCGGTTGTGATAGCTTGCGGCTTCACAGCCGAGTGCTCACTGCGCATGAGCGAGAAGCACTGCTCTTTGTGAATGGCCCTGTAGTCTTCTGGGACCTGTCACGTGTCCCAAAAGACTATGGGGAGGGAGGACAACTTCCGCTTCCAATCGTCTAGGCGATCGCAGCGGAAGTGGGAGCAGGTAAAATCAAATTTGGGTACCCACTTCCCAAAAGTGACAATCCTTAATGGGGAGCGGGGGACAAAGGCTTAAAGTGGAACTTCCCCTTTTGGGTGGAGCTCCGCTTGAAGTTTCAGAATCAACATTTTTTATGGAACACTATACTACAATAAACTCCCACAAATGCGGGCCATTGATTGCAAACAAGATTTGCACATACAAAAGAGTTTTTTTCCTAGCAAATGCATTCAAGACCATGTTGCAAAAATGAACAAACCCCAATTCAAGTCTTAGGAGCAAAGCCACATTTTAGACAACAAAATCCTAATTAACAAGAATTCAACTACAAGTGAGTTTAATTATTCAGTAAACAGGTGACCAGCAGACATCTGACTTTAGAAGGGCGTTACTTAAAGAAAACCCCTTCCCATTTCATGCTGTCAGCAAAGGCACTGCATGGAAGAGAAATGTCAAGGCCTGAGAAAGAAATTAATTCCTTAACACAAGAAAATGGAAGGCTACAAGAAGATCAGCAAACCTTTACTTTTTAGAGAATACTGTAGCAAAAGTGATACAAAAATATAATAAAGATGGAACTGCAACCACCTCACAGAGACATCCAGGCTGTCCAGGGAAGTTACCACCTTGACAGGAGTGTCTTCTGATGAGAAGGGTTGAAGAAACTCCCCATGCAAGTTCACTGCAGTTAGCTAAAGAAGTAGAAAGCCAAACTGGGGTGATTGTTTCCCGTGACATAAAAAAGCCTGCCTAGAATTTGTCACGGTCCATGCTGAAAAAGAAGAAGACTACTGGGACCAAGATAAATATTTTTGGAACAGATGGCTTCAAAACTGTATGGCGATGCAAGGTGAAGAGTACAAAGAAAAATGCATGGTGTCTACAGTGAAACATGGCGGTGGCAGTGTCCTTCCTTGGGACTGCATGGGTGATGCTGGTGTCAGCGAGCTGCATTTAATTGATGGCATCATGAATTCACAGATGTACTGTTCTATATTGAAAGAGAAGATGCTACCATCACTCCGTGCCCTTGGCTGTCGTGCACTTTTCCAACATGACACACCTCTACGGCTACTGCTGCATTTCTAAAGAACAGGGTGAAAGTGATTCAGTGGCCAGGCACGACAGTGGGTTCCGAGTCAACTGGCATGACCGCGGGCACTGGGTCAGACATTGGATCATCTGGCTCGACAGCGGGCATCGGGTCACCAGGCATCAGGTCATTTGGCTCGACAGCGGGCACCGCGTCATCTGGCAAGGCAGTGGGCACCGAGTCACCAGGCACGACAGTGGGCTCTGAGTCAATTGGCACGACAGTGGGCACCGGGTCATCAGGTACCGGATCTTCTGGCTTGACAGCAGGCACCGGGTCATCTGGCGCTGGATCGTCTGGCTCGACAGCGGGCATCGGGTCACCAGGCATGACAGCGGGCACTGGGTCATCAGGCATTGGATCGTCTGGCTCGACAGCGGGCATCGGGTCACCAGGTATGACAGCGGGCACTGGGTCACCAGGCATCAGGTCATTTGGCTCGCCAGCGGGCACCGCGTCATCTGGCAAGGCAGTGGGCACCGAGTCACCAGGCACGACAGTGGGCTCTGAGTCAATTGGCACGACAGCGGGCACCGGGTCATCAGGTACCGGATCATCTGGCTCGACAGCGGGCATCGGGTCACCAGGCATGACAGCAGGCACTGGGTCATCAGGTACCGGATCGTCTGGATCGACAGCGGGCACCGGGTCATCAGGCATTGGATCGTCTGGCTCGACAGCGGGCATCGGGTCAGCAGGCATGACAGCGGGCACCGGGTCATCAGGTACCGGATCATCTGGATCGACAGCGGGCACCGGGTCATCTGGCATTGGATCGTCTGGCTCGACAGCGCGCATCGGGTCACCAGGCATGACAGCGGGCACTGGGTCATCAGGCATTGGATCGTCTGGCTCGACAGCGGCATCGGGTCACCAGGCATCAGGTCATTTGGCTCGAAAGCGGGCACCGCGTCATCTGGCAAGGCAGTGGGCACCGGGTCATCAGGCGTGATAGGATCATCAGGCTGGATCAGTTCATCAGGCTGGGTACAGACATCAGGCTGGGTAGGGACATCAGGCTGAAGTGCGGGTGCCGAGGCACCAGGCTGAACCACGGAAGGCAGGTTCTCAGACGGCAGGCTCACCGGTTTGGATACTGGCAGGATGGTACTGGTTGGAAAGAATTTTTGCTTTTTTATGGTTTTAACTACTGGAGCACTGCAAGTAAACGCAGGTCTGCAAACGAATGGAGCAGCTGAGGACAGAGAAGAGCTGGAAGATGGAACAGAGGAGGGAGCAGCCGCCACAGAGGACCTCTCCACAGGGCCAAAGAAAGGATAGGTGCAGCGAGTGGGAGCAGGGCACTGGTATGTGGTAGTTAGAGTATACTGGGCCGTCACTGGGGGTGCTGTCGGGGATGCAGGAAGAGTGCCTTGAGCAGAGGAATGACGTTGCAAGCTGACTGAGGCTGGGTGCAACAAGTCTGACCATGTCTGCAGTATGGGTTGAACAAAGCTGAGCTTACACAAAGCCTGTCTGGTCAAAGACTGCACTGCGTTTATACAATCCCTTAATACCTGTGGTGAACATGCAGCATAATGCTCCAAGAAGCAATCCACATCATCCTCTAATAACCATACCAGTGACTCTACCTGGTCTGCACTAAATGGTGGCAAAAAGTCATTCCTGCTTTCAGGGGGACCAGATGAAGCCAACTCTACACAAACCTGAATCAAAGGTTGCACCTCTACTAGAACATGAGCGATCCGTATACATTCTAGCAGTTGATCCCGGGTATACTCCCTCAGAGTCTCATAAGCATATTCTCTGTCATCAAAAACCAGTAGCGACAAATACACAACCTCATCAAGATCCATCCTTCCCAGCAACAAGCCAAGATGGCTTCCCTGTGCAGCCACTTCTGGTCAGGATTGGCCTTGGTGTAATGTCAGGGCTCCGGGTATGACCAGAGGTATGTGAACTGACGCAGGGAAACGCAGGCTTCAGATATGTTATAAACAATATAATTTATTAATACTAACAATACAAAACGCAGGGATCAAACAGGAGAAGTCAGCAGAGGTCCGGATCAGGCAGGGTCGGCAACAAATCAGTCAGACAGGAACAGGAATGCAGGTAACAAGATACAAGGGCCCATGGAAAAACACACACCAAGGCACAGACTGCAGGTCTGGCCATCCCTTAAATACACCTGCAATCAGCCTCAGGTGTTTTGGCTGACTGCAGGGTTGAGTCTCTGATTGCTGAGAGCACCCGCTGGCCAGCCCTGGTTCTGCAGCCCACAAGGCAGGTGAGTCCCACCATTATTGGCAAGTCCATTCCTGACAAGGACTGAATTCAAATCCCACAGTTCAAGGGAAGACTTCACAATGTTTTGACCCAATGAGTAATTTAAAGAAGCATGGTGCATGGTGTGACAGCATCAAAGAGACTGTCTCTCAGCACCTGTGCTTCTCCTATGCTATGCCATAAGCCAGCAATTGAGAAACAGAATTGGATACTGAAAAAGCAGGTATTGCTGATTTATCATGGAGCATCGTGGAGAAGACAAAGGACTTCTGAGTACCGTGCCCTTTTGGGTCAGATCAGAGCCATAAGAATGTCTTTTAGCTCAGTACTCAAAAAAGCGGTGGAAGAAGTTTTGAGAAGGGAAACACTTTGCATCAGGAAGGTGATGAGAAATCTGCCCCAAAAGTTGAGGATTGCATCCCTGGTGAATATCTACCATCGAAGGGTAAATATTTTACTGAGATCAACTAATAGAACTGTGCCACCACAGAAAATAACCAGGACTTGTCCCAGTGAGATAGGATTTCCCTCTGCAGAGTCCTGTATGACATGGAAAAAGGGAACTGCCTTTAACTTAGAGACCATGAGCCCCAGTACTCTCAAGTAAGTGTGAAGACTTGAGCAGTACTCAGGTCAGAAGAAGGCGGCTTCATTCTGGATACCAACTTCTCAAAATCTTCCAATTTCTGTGTTGATGACGCTCCAAATAGGAGGTCACCTAGGTAACGAATTACAGAGATATCTATCAATGTTAGGAGTGTCCAAACCAGGGAAAGAACCTTGGAGAAAACTGCGGAGCTGAAATAAGCAAAAATAGAGGACCTAAACTGCTCCCACCCACCCCAAATCACAGGAAGTACAGATGGCCCAAGAAATGGGGATGTGAAGATGCTCATTTTGAATGTCTATGGAGGTTATATGATTCCCTGGTAAAGAAAATCGATTCCATGCAGAATTTTGGCAACTGCACAAAATATTGTGAAACTAAAAAGGAATACTATAAAACAAAAACCAATCAGCACAAAATACTCTTAAAAATATACAGTATTGCAAGCTTAACACAAGAGGTAGATTTCACAATACTACAAAGGCAATAATATTATACAAAAAGTGCAGCGCAAAACATCAAATGAGGAGCACTTTTTGCACCTGGATGTGTTTATACACCACAACCTTTATTCACTGTGCTCTTGGCTTAAATTCATGGACTTTATCTATGGACTGTTTTTCGCTGCACTTTATGTATGTTAACAAAACATTGTGAATATTAGGATTCGGAGATTGAATTCTGCTGTTCTTGGAATCATGAAGAAACACCACCTGCTAAAGTAACGCAGAAACAGTACAGAGTGCTGCAGAGAAAGCTTAAGTTTTAAAGCAAGAAAAAAAATCTTGAGAGGAGTGGATTTGGATTCAATTTTATAGGCTGTGCATATCACCATCTGTATCAAGGCATCTGAGATGTACTGAAGCCACAAATTTCAATACTGGGGGAGGAAGTATGCTTACCTACTGTAGTGTTCTTGATAATTTTATTCAAGCTAGCACCAAACGGCCTACCAAAAATAAAGGAGAGCTGGATGAGGGCTCCTAAAGGCTTGGCCCTCCAACCAGAAATCGAATCAAATCACTCTAGGGATAATTACAGAGATTTTGCGTAGATGTGACATGAACCAGTTTTTTAAAAATAACCATTAGCAAGTGAAAGCAGTGTCATTCTGAAAAGGCAACCACAGTGTTATTAATCTGGCACAAAACTGTCAGCACACTTATTGAAGAAATCCACCTCAAGCAATCTGGATCCAGCAGAGCTGGAGAGAGATGTCTTAGCTCCTCAGGAAACAAAGCTGAACCTAACTACATAGCAGGTATAGGCGTATAGCCACTAGGAGGAGATAGACCCTTTTTATTTCACTTGGTGTCCTGTCCTATTGAAGGCATCTATACTGATGCACATGTTCTTGAATCTAGAGTGCTGTGATTAACAGAATGATAGAGAATATATATATATATATATATATATATTTCTTTTTTTTTTTTTTAAATTTCTAACATTATATACTTTAGCTTTCAATAGTTAAAAAAAAACAAAAAACAAAACAAAAAAACCCCTAGGAACAAGTGTTATAAATGTTTGGAAATTATTACATTGTGACATTTTGCAATAATAAGCAATATATTACCTGTATAGAATTCTCATCAAGCTTCTCGGTTCCGACTTCAGTGACACTTAGCTGAAGACGATAGAGCTTTGGCTTATCTCTAGAATCTGACCCATCTCAATGTAGTAAGGAAAAAAAAATAAAGTGTTATGAATATTCTAGACTAAAGAAACATAATAATTTTGTCATTTAAGTTTGTCTACAGCATTTATAGCATCAAAAACAATCAAATGCATCCATTATATTGCAATGTTTTGCCAGCTAATCTTCCATAGATACAATATTACTGATATATTTGTGTAAATGTCTCCCTGCTCTACTGTCCAAGTTTTAAAATGAAAAAAGTCTATTGTCCTTATTTTTAAAACACTAGATAACCATTTGTTTAGGCTTTAACTTCACACCTTCACATTTTTGCCTGATGCATTTTTTACTGTAAAAAGTATAAAAAAGCTTGACAATCCTAGTTGCAATGCACATCAACCTTTGTTAATGTGTTATGATGTGCATTATTGTGAAATGTAAAGTGCATTGCAATGCGTTTTAATTCCTTTCCATTGGTATCACAAGTGTGCATGAGTCCTTAGGGCTCTGGGGCTTGCAAAGAATGTTGATGTAATGCCCTAGTAGAGAGTGAAAAGTTGGTTACCCATGACTGCAAAAATAATCTTTGAACAGCATCATAAAAAGAGTAACAATGTTGAAGTGTAAGTTCATCTTTTCAGAAAAAAATAGAACAGTGAACTAACACCCTACACCCTCCCCACATCCCGTACTAATCTCTGAGTGATGAGCTGTCAGAGCCCACGCGGCTGATGTAGCAGTCTAGGGATTTGAAAGCCCCACTCTTCTTCCCCTTTATTCTGTAGGACTTCCAGGATGAATAGAGCGAATGTGATTTGTCAAAATGGTTACGTGAATCATTTGATTAGTCTTGGAAGCCCTACAGAAAGAAGTGTAAGGATTATAAATCCCCAGACCAATACACTGACTTTGCGGGCACTCACAGTTCATCACCCATGGAGTTAAGTACAGTGGGGACCAAGTGGGAGGTGGGTGTAGGGTGCTAGTTCACCTTTTCCTTTTAGCTGAAAAGATGAATTAACCCTTTAAATGTTTTTACATGCATCTTTTTGGAAGATAACTATATTCCTTTTTTTTTTTTCTTTTTTTTAACTGTTTTGTTGTTTTGGATCACTGCACTGTGCACAATGTTACTTGCACAAAAAAAGGTCTAATCTCTTAATGCTAGCTAAATAAAATTGAAGTAAGACAAATCAGGAAAAATGCAAGATTTTGAAACAGATGAGCACTTGATCTGCTGCTCCATTAGAGTGTAAACACATTATTACCTTCACAAGAATGAAAGTTGTAGTAGGCAAAGTGGTTCCTTCTGCCTGAGGACAGAACACATACACAGACAGGACCCAGGAAAAGACACCACCAGCAGAACAGACCATGCAGAGCATGCCAAGAAAAGCAGTAAGAGAGAAGACAGGAAAGTGTGAATTGGCAGCCTAGAACATCCAAATATTGTGTTTTTATTTTAATCATGTATGACACATACATTCAGTGGTGGCATTAATGTTAAATGGGAACCTTGTGCAGTTTTTGGCTTCTTCTAGTTAAAGCATGTGCACATTTATACTTTGTAACAAAGAACATTTCTTTTTCTGTAGGTGTCACTATTACTATACATTTTTTAAGAATTTTTATAGTATTAGTAAAACCTGTTCACAAGGTTACAAAACAAATGCAGCCTGCCACACACTGAAACAGTAAAAATATGGAAAATTTATATATTTGAATTTACAGCCATTTCCCATTTAACTTGTGCATTTCCACAAATAAAATACTTATTGGTGAGATTAAAGTGAGCAAGACGTGAAAAGTTATGCTACTGAACAGACTATTAAAGAGCAAGAAAGCATTGGGGCAACCCCCACTCTGAAATTCACCGGCCTTTACCAAAGTCCCTTTACTTTTAAACATGTGAATGCCAAAGTCAGAGCATGACTTATACATATTGCATGTTCTACACTAGAAGAATACAACATTCTCCATATACTTCACCAGCTGACTTATCTTGCTGATCTATTTATGTTCCCCCTCCAAATCACAAGGATTTTTGTTAAAGCAGCCCATTATATCCTGTGCCTAAACTGGACACACACTGATCTATCACCTATGAAGCATGACAGGCACCCTCTAGTACTGCATATTACCACTTGCATTACTGCATGCTACTTGCAACCTGTAATGCAGCACCCACCCCTCCCCCCTTTGCAAGATATTCTACAACCATAAACTGCCATTAATCATGCACCAGCCCTGGTGACAGCCCTCGGGCTAAGTATGGGCTTGCGGGTAACAAGCACTATATTATGAGAGTTAGGTTGCATGGCACCTGCTCACACCTGATCAAGTGAACATGCGCCATAGAGAGCAATTGATTTTTTAAGTTTGAGCTTTTTTGTAGCTTCGAGCTTCAAACTACTAACTCGCTCAAGTGTGAATGCAGCCTTAGGAGTACCGAGCAGAGGAGTCTCATACCTGGGTGCTCATGTTTTTGAGTAGCATAAGCAAAACATCATTGAGAATATGGGGGGCAGCATTTATTTTATTGACCAGATGTCTTGTTATCCTCCAGTAAAATTATGTTTCTAATTTCTAATGTTTCTAATTTTGAACAAACAATAACAGCACACCCAATTTGACCCAGAGTGAAATTTTGATCTGACAGACACTAACAGATTTATAAACAAGGCCCTGATATATGTATTTGTCTAACCATATAAACAGGACCCCATCTGAGATTTGAATAATTACTGTTTGAATTCTTTAAACACGCAGACCTCCTAAAATTTGTGAAGTGATGGACAGAGTAGGGAACAGAAGTTGGGCATCAAACATCCATTATTCTGCCAATAGTCTCTAACCACATTGCCATCTGGCCAGTGTCTGTTTCAATTAGAAGCTTAGAACGAACACATACAGTAAAGTAATGCTTGCAAGTCTGTTATGGGTAGAATAATTCATTTTATACCCATGCACTGTATTCAAGGAACCACCTAAAGCATCACTTTAGTTGTGTTTCCAAATCATAAATCTAAAACCTAAAGGATTGCCTAGGGATTGCAACATTTAAGGAAGCGATCAGCACTTCAACTTTAAAAATGTTATGATCAGATCCTTAAACTGTTGAGCACAGCGAAAAACACAATTTAATAAAATGAACATCGCGCTTATAGTGAATACTGTACTGCAATAACTCAGTACATGCTTGCTTTGCAAAATAGGTCATAACCCAGGAACCAAAAATGCTTGAGAAGTTGCTAAATTCAGTCCATGCATTTCTAAAATGTTGCATGTTAAAACTTCAACACAACAATTTCACGTCTTACCTGGACTTAACTCTACCAAGTAAGGCAGTTTATCTGGTGAAAGTGAGTAACCAAAAGAATCCGTCCGCTCTTTGCCTTTTGATGGCTTGCCCTCAAGTTTCCTGCTTTTCTTTGAGAGGTGATCTGGAGGTCTTCTTCTTAACTGAAATACAAGTTCTCCTAAGGAAAAATAAATAGATTTTATAAATAGATTTTATATATATATATATATATATATATATATATATATATATATATATATATATATATATATATTATATATACACACATACACATACACTATATATATATATATATATATATATATATATATATATATATATATATATATATATATACTGATGTTGGGAATAAAAAAAGTAAATTAAATGTATTACTCAACAAAGAAAATATTACCATGACAGTTTAGTTTAATTCACATATTACTGTTAAATCAACATGTCTCACAACAGCTTGTATGATCACTGCATATGATTTGATCCTGCTGCAGAGATTTCAGTCATTTGGCTCAATATAAGTGTTAAAATGTATCACACACAAATCACACTTTTTTCAGAGTACTCGCTAAAAGTCCCCAATCTCAGGCACTATATCATGCAAGTTGGTATCCAACATTTCTGGCACTGAAACATCCTAAAAATAATAATGCCAGTTTCAGAAGCAGAGACGCAACATATTTTGGCCTATGAAGAAAATATTCTAGAATCCATAAAAGTATACAGTAGGAGAAATTTTCGCATCTACTCACTGTCCCACAAAAATTTATTTCAAAACGGATCTCAGTAGTCACCCACAAACAGCATATTACTTTCTAATTTTACAGTGTTACTAAACCCACAGCAGTAAAATCAGTCTGTATATGCAGTAAAGAATGCTTGTTATACTCATTGTGGAACCTAAGGGGTTATACTCTGCATTGTGTAAAAAGGCCATTTGATCTTGATTGCTCTCTACCTCCCCTTGTTTAAGCAACCACCTCTTATCTCCTGATAAGACAGACTGAACTGTAGGCATTTTGCACATGGTCAGTTTGATGTGTATTGCCAGAGAGGGGTTTTTTTTTTTTTTCTTGGGAGAGTGCATGTGATCAGAACAGGGCCAATCAGCACTGCCCAGACAGAGGTCAAGGGTCCTCCTAAAGCACAAACAAAACTCCTCCAGCCAAGCACTAGCTAAAGCTTGTAGAACCAGATAGAAACCACAATACTGCTCTAACTTCTAATGAGAAAAGGTATTTAGCAGTTTATATTTACTAAAATAATTGCATTTCCATGTTCTGTGTACTGTGGGAGACCAGATAAGTGAATGCAGGGTCCTGGGTTTAGTAACACTTTAAGAAAATGAACATAAAAATTGAAGAAAGACTTACAGTAACACAAGTTTCCCTGCTTACATTAAGGTGTTCCTATCATACTATGGACATGTAACCTTTCTGGGTGACTGCACTAAATCAAGTAACATGCAGGAATTTGCAGATTGTTTCCGCAATATTAAAAAAGACCTCCAAACTTTTTTTTTTTTAAATTTACCATCAAACCACTTCCTACTCTATGAAAGAGAAAAGGGGAAGTTTTGGGTTTAGATATACTTTAAGCTCAACATATATGTAAGCTGTGGTTAATATTCACATTCATTGAACTCTATGTTCATGTGTCTTTTTTTTAACCACATTATTCATGTAACTAAAAAAATAGAAATACTGTTGGTTAAACACTTTCCCTATGAAACCACATGGCTATTACAAATAAAGTATATAGCCACTGATCATATCCCTAAAATTAAGTAGAGGTGGAGGTAGGAAATTGGCATTAAAAAGCAGAGAGGTGGTTTAAAGTTGGGGGAGTTGGAGGAATGTGTGTCATTATATGCGGATGACATGTTATTACACTTAAATGATGCTCCGGTGTCGCTAACCTAAACCTTTTTCAGTGATACAAGAATTTGGAGATTATTCAGGATTTCGAATAAACTGGTCTAAATCTACATTATTCCCTTTGGATGGCCAACAGTTGCGGATTTCGGATCTGGGGTGTCCCATTGGGATATCGGATAATTTTAAGTACCTAGGGATAAATATACAGCTTCCGTTACAATCATACCTAGACAATAATCCTTGGCCTATAGTAAGTGTGTTTAAAGACAGGGTTTGTAATTGGAAGGAATTGCCCTTGACAATGCTAGGCAGAGAAAATTTGTTTAAAATGATATATCTACCGAAATTTTTATATGCCCTCTCCAATGCGCCCATTTATATTTCTAAACAAAATTTTTAAATGTATTAACTCCCTGCTTGGCACCTTTTTATGGGGTTCCAAACCTCCTCGGGTGGCCCTAGAAATACTTCAACTGCCAATACACAGGGGGGAAACTAGCTTTACCTGACTTACGAACTTATTATTTTGCTCCTCAGTTAATGTACGTACACTGGAGGATGTTTCCTCAACTGCATAATGTGGCTACAGCTGTAGAGGCGGCGGTGGCTACCTCCTATGAGGCCTTATTGAACCATTTTTACAGAGGAGAGGTATGTGCGAAACATATTTCTGATGCAACCCTTGCCATGTCGCCAGGTGCACCTCTTTGGTGCAATCCAAATTTGCCTGAATTTTATAAGATGGAGGGAGAACAACGGGCCCAACATAGTCTTAAATATGCACATCAGCTTTTTGTGCAGGGGCGGCTGAAGTCTTTTTTGCAAATGAGGTGGGAAAAGGGAGTAGCGGGTTCTTCATATTTTCGGTATGCTTAGTTAAGGCATGCAGCAGTAGCTCAGTATGGCCCTGGGGAAGTTACTCTGACCAACACCAGACTGGAAAACCTTCTCCTACAAAGGAAACACACTAAACTTGTATCGTCATACTATGCAGAATTGACTCTAATAGACAATAGGCAGTGTCATCGCACACATGAGCGATGGTTTGCTATTGTCCCAGAGTTTATGGAGAACTGGAAAGATGTCTTGGCCACCTATGTGAGTAAAGTTACTGTATCTCTTCAAGGGACAAAATGTTTCAATTGCGTTATTTACATCAAATGTATTATACACCTCAGCGTCTCTATCGTATGGGTCGATGTAACACAGCCATTTGCCATAAATGTCAGGTTAATACGGGATCCTTTTTACATATGGTTTGGGAATACTCTAAAGTTAGGCCGTTGTGGTCTGCAGTTACAGCATTTATTTCCGATACATTTGACTTGCCTAATGTATGTAGCTCTATGGTGTGTCTTTTAGGAGTGCTTGAAGATGAGCAGATGAATAACATGAAATTTTCACCACGTCAGTAACAACCCATGCAATCCATACATATACAGAAAACTAAAACAAATAAAGAAATTAAGTTATGTGTAATAAAATGTAATGACACAGGGAAAAAGTACTGAACACATGAGGAAAAGGAGGTGCAAAAAGGTATGGAAATCTGAGACACCAGCTGAAATAAATCAGTAATTAGAAAGCAATCCTGCCCCTTGTCAGTGAAAATTAATATCAGCTGGTTCAGTCTCCACTGATGGCCTATAAAAAGGTGTCTCATTTGATGTCACCACCTCATCAGTCCCTCCTAACTGCAGTGGGGGGGTTGTCTGTTTACAAGGGGCAGACACAGTGGAGAAGCCCCCTGGCAATATGCAGCAGACTGGCAGGTGGATGGAATTAGGTGACACAGCAGGAAGAGGGGGCTTAACATACACACAGTGGTGGTATTACTTCCCCATCTGTGTGTGCTGTACTCCAGAGCCAGCTTCAGTTTTGACAGCAGATCCCACCTGCAACCTCACTGTCAGAATTGAAGATGGTCTTCCAATGCAGTACACACAGACGGGGAAGTAACTCCACCGCATGCATGTGTGATATAAGCTGATGTGTATGTGTGAATTAATATAAATTAAAATTTGTAACATTTCATACCCCATAGTACTATTCCCCCCCAAGTAGTAAGCCAAGTCCCCCCGTGTCAATTTACTTACCTTTGCTCCGCGCGTTCCTCTCGCCGTGTTCCCGCGCCGTTCCGGTCTTCAGGGCGGACTGTGAGAGGAGCCTAGCTCCCCTCACGTTCGTCACGCTGCCCCGCCTACACACATCCTGACAGCCAATCACTGGCTATCAGGATGTGAGTGGCAGCGAGACTGGCCAATCATTGCATTTCAGCGCGCTGAATGATGCAAATGTTTGCCTGCCCTGGCTGTTTTTTTTTTGTATCACGCTCCGCGGGCAGGATTAAAAGGTCCGCCGGGCCGGCTTAAAAGGTCCGCAGGGTATACGGCCCGCGGGCCGTAGTTTGCCCATTCCTGTCCTAGAAGCTAGATTTTAAAAAAAAAAAAAAAAAAAAAAAACACACAACATGTTTAACCACACACATTTACTAAATCTCGCTTTGTAGGGTAACATACAATTAATGAACACAAGATGTTTGAGAATCAGACAATAAAATGAAGAGTGGTGCAACAACTTGCTGTTACTTTATATGTGGGAACTGTGGACAAAATCCAATTGATGGCACCAGCATCTAAAACAAGTGTTTGGTACACCAACTGTTGGAACTAACCATGTAACATTAGGGATGTCAGGCTAAAGAGGACTATATATTATATATATATATATATATATATATATATATATATATATATATATATATATAACAATATAGCTGTATAAGCTCCACCAGATGTACCAACAACTGTGTCATTTAAGGGTCTGTCTGATTAGATACAAATTGAATTGGCTACTTGGATAGGACTTCATTATTAGTAAATCGAAAAGGATTTACAGAGATTGTACAATCAATCAAATGGTACTCTGTGAGGATCTCTTTAGAGCCTTGAATCTAAAAAGCTTGAATCAGAAACTTTTCAAGAAATCACAGCCTTTCTGGAATTTACTAGAGATACCATATTGCAATTCTTAGCCTCCATAGCTGAAAATTTAAATACCTAGAGCCTGACTATACCCATTGTAAACACAAGCTGCTGTTCAACAGACAGCTTCTGTACTGTCACTGACCAACAAAAATCTGTTAAAAACATGACAGTGGGTTATTTCATGGTCTTCTCACATGGAAAGCATGGGCATTTCACTTGATCCACACAGCAGTACAATGGTATGATGCCAATCAAGTCAGCACACCACTGGGGTTTTAATCAAGTCATGCAGATAGCATTTAAGACTACTATATCCAATTCAAAATATGTGTTTATAGAGAATGTATGCACAGTAGGCAACTGTTAGCTAAAGCCTGGTTTAGCACTTGCTGCAAGGAAATAAGGTGTTTAAAGGATAAGTTCACCTGTAGGAACATGGTTTTTAGGGTTGAACATTTAACATGTTTCCTATCCTGCAGCTGCCGCCCACTGCCCCTATCTCCCTATGAAAGAAGTACAGGGAGAAGTTCCATGTACTAGCTGTCACTTTTCAAAAACAGCGCAGCCGTGCAGTGCTCTGCCCACACAACCGAGTCATTCATTCACAGTCCTCTGTTCTATAAATGTCAATAACAAAACTCCAACACATTGCAGGAAACAGTTATAAGTTTTGCAATTTATTAGTTGTACAGGGAGTTCTAAAATCATACACAAGTCCAAAAATATTAAGCTATGGGTGGATTATTCATTTGTTTATCTCTGAGACTAATAATTTAATATCTGTATTTTGATTTCTAAATGTACAATAATGAGTGCCACAGTAGCGAACCATAACTACAGCTCCGTTTCAAAGAAATACCATACAACTTGCAGTCCCTGACTGAGGCAGGAGCCAGCTTGGAACCATCAGACATCCTAAATAAGGGAGTAACATGCGATGTGGTCTTAAAGATGGACTTAGACTTTAAGGAGAGCAATCTGCAACTTCTAATTAGTGATATGTTAAAGGTTAACTCCACCCAACCAATTGTCTGATTTACTTCTTATCCCATGCCCCATAATGAACAATAAAATAACTCCTGTTTCTTTCTCATCCATTGAAGGACACAGGATTCAGTTATTCTAAGACAACTGGGACATGAAAAAGCAGAGCAAATTAAGTGTGGGAAATATTGCAAATATGCTAACAGGTGCACATAATAATAAAACTTGGGGCGCCCTGAAGCTCAAGAGTTGCCTAAAGGACCTTACGTTCAAAGCTAGTATTAGATGAGAACTGAACAGCTACTTGGCAAAACTTAGGGAACATGTAAACAGACCAGTTGGCAGTCTTGTAAATCTGAGAAACAGTTGCCTGTTGCCAGAATGTCCAGGTAGCAATGACAGATAGTAGAATGTGTTTTAAAAGGAAAAAAGGTGGAGTCTTCTCCCAGGTCCACCTGTTTCAAAAAAAGAAATAAATGCAACCACATTTGCAGTAAAAAAAAAAAAAAAATATTCAGCCTGCAAAGATCAGTGGATCTTGGGTGCAACGCAAAGTGCAGTGAGTACCGCATTTGTGCTAAATAAAAAGTTACAAGTCCGGAATCCACAGTAGGCTGAGGGACCTTTACCTCTGCAGGTATGTGAGAAAGATTCCGGAGGGAAAGGCATAGGAATCTGTTCATGGCCTCCGAGTCAACTAGCATATATGCAGTTTGGCTCAAACATGCCTAAGAACTGCTTTCTGGATAAGGCTGAGGAAGAAGCCACATCTAAAGGAGCTAAGGAAGACACCAAGGCGTATATTGATGCAAAACAGGGGACAACAATACAGGCTGTCAGTGTCAGGTACCTGAGAGGGGAAGTTGCAGACTGCCATGGAATGATTAGTGGATAAAGATCTGGTGAAATCCAATTTAGCAGGACTGCTCGCTTTGTGCTTTGACGCACTGCTTAACAGAAGAAACCAAAGAATGTGCGCAAGAGTCTCCAGTTAGTGACAGAGCACTTCAGCACTTAAAGTCTTCAGAGACTGGATCACATAAAGGGCTGTGCCATGGCACTGGACCTGGAAAGTGCTCTGCAACTAGCAACACATTCAAGACTAGAACAAGTGCCACAAGCAGAGACCAGTACCCATCACATTTCAGGCAGGCCCCAAAATCTTTGGCTCAGCACAGTCAAAATGAACAGCTGCATAAATAGCCAAGCTCAGAAACATGTCGGTGGAGTCTTGACTGAAGAAAAAAAAAAAAAAAATAGACAATGGCTAGGGAAAAAAAAAAAAAAAAAAAAAAAAAGAAAAAAAGGTTAAACCTCTCTGAATAGACACAAAAAAAAACAAAAAAAAAAAAAACGACTATTTAGGACTAGCAAGCAAAAACGCTGGCATGATGGGAGTGGGAGGAGTTAAATCTGGCTGGCCAATGCCTTTTTTGTTTGCCAGTTTAAATTCCTCCACAAGGCAGCAATATAAACATATTGTCTTAAGTATCAGAATCCTGTATCCCTTAATAACGAAGAACAAAAATTATTTAACAGGTACTTCAAACAAGCAAACCGTCCGATAACTATGTGCAAATCTATGAGATGACTTATGTCATTTTGTATTTTTATTACCTTTATCACTTGACCAGTCCCGGAATATCTGTAGAGGGCATTCATCATCATCAAGTATAGTTTCTTTCAAACCTTTGTCTGAATGTTGGCCGCCAGGTGGTAACATTACCTAAGCAAATATGATTTAGATATATTCAGCAAAAGTACATTGAAAGTATATTACATATTTGGATTTTTAGATCTCTTTTTTTTTTTTTATTCAGTGTCCAAATGGGCAGATTTCTGTTCCCGTCCCCAAGACATAAGAAGAAGGCTAAACCTCTCCAAAGTAAAGAGAAATCTCTTATAAGAAACGTTTCACTGAAACAGGTGCGCCAATTCAAAGATTTCTTCTCTATTCTTGTTCTGATTACAAGCTGCCTAATGGGATCACAAACAGCAACAAAAGACTGTCAGGGGTTTAAACATTTCCCCAGTCTATCCAGAAAAGAAAAAAATTATTGCCTTTAAACATATTTATTGGCACTAATAATACTTTGAAAATCTTAGGCATGTCTATCAATCATCCAAATCTATAATGTTAATAGGTTCATCTTTTAATGGTAAAGTAACATCAATACTTAAGTTGATGTCACACCAGAGATTCTGCTGCCGATGACTTCACTACCCCAATTGGTATCACTCCTTCACTTTTGCGGACACTGCAAAATTGAGCTTGCTAGCAAGGAAGTAGCAACAAGTAGTGAGAAGTAATGCCATAGGGGAAAATATTTAGTCTCTGAGAGGTCATAACATAGGCTATTTGTTGCCACCAACAAGGTCGCTCTTGTTACATCAAGATGCACAGAACTTTCTGGCCGCAGTAAGGCCAGCTGCACAGGAACATAATAATTTACTGATGTTTAAAGGGGAAGTAAAGCCAAAGCTTGTTTGGTTTGTACTTCTGTGGATCACAGGAGTGCAGTTTGTTCTGCACTCCTGTGACCCATTTTTAGCAGATAACGGGCTAAAACCCACTTTCAACCAACATCACAAAGCTGGTCCAAGCTAGGGAAAGATTGCAACCACCTGGGAGCCTGAACTGGCACCTGGCTCGGCCTTCTGGACGAGCCACTGGGAGCCCAAACCAGCCGCTCTCACACAGCCCAATGCTCCAATGCTGCTGGAGGGGCAGCGAGGACAACGGTGACTGACAGTCACTACTCTTTGCTTAGAGCAGCTGGGAGAACTGAGCGATCAGCAGTGTTTGATCGATATGTTCCCAGGGCCAGCACGGGACAGATGCAGCATCAGATGGATGGTGCATCCACCTGGGTAAAATTTGGAAGAAAAAAAAAAAAAACAAACAAACCCATACTTCTCTTTTAAACTCAGGATCTTGTGGACAGAAAGTAAAATGTTCCGTAAGGACATTGTATAAACACATATAAACATGTGTATGTGTAAAAAAACTTAATCCACGCTTAAGGCTATAACCAAACTTCAAAAAGCAGCTTGCACAATATTTGACATATAATATAGTTCAAAGTAGGAAAAAGAAAAAACGTGCTGCAGTAATTCCCTAACATAATGGGATTGATTTACTAAAACTGGAGAGTACAAAATCTGGCGTGGCTCTGCATTGTAGCCAATAATTATTATACAGGATTTATACAGCGCCAACAGTTTGCGCAGCGCTTTGCAAAATGAAGGTAGACATTACAGTTACAATACAATTTTGTACAAGAGGAAACAGAGGGCCCTGCTCGTTAGAGCTTACAATCTAGGTGCTTTTAACTTCAGTTTGTTCAATTAAGCTTGACAAAAACTTGAAAGCTGATAGAAACCAGTCAGCTTCCAAGTTTTGTCAAAGCTTAATTGAACAAGCTGAAGATGGAAGCTGATTGGTTACAATGCACAGCTGCACCAGATTTGCACTCTCCATTCAGTAGTCAACCGCAATGTAACATGCACACTCAGTAAAAAATGGTGTTCACTACTTCATCCGCCTTCATATAAATATTGTATAAAAACTATGTGCGACACAGTGAAAAAGTACACACAATAAGGTAAAAAAAAATAAAATAATAATTTGTGGAAATCTGAAGTTCACTTCTAAGTGGCAATGAAATATAACGCTCAATCAAATGTACAATCAAAAAAGTTCCAATATATTCCAGTGACATTCAAATAATCTTTCCCATGGATGCAACCTTCCAATTGAATCCATATCACTTCAGAGCCACAAGTGAGAGCTTACCCAAAGGGAATAAACCTCATTGCCGGAATGGTCACAAACAGCATGACCATTACAGTGTATATAAAAAAAAGTCTACACACCCCTGTTAAAATATCAGGTTTCTGTGATGTAAAAAAATTAGACAAAGATAAATAATTTCAGCATTTTTTCCAACTTTAATGTGACCTATAAACTGTACAACGCAATTGAAACACAAACTAAGAAACTTTTTTTGTGGGGGGGGCTAAACAAACCAAAAAAAATGTGGTTGCATATGTGTGCACACCCTCTTATAACTGGGGATGTAGCTGTGTTCAGAATTGAGCAATCACATTCAAAATCATGTTAAATAGGATTCAGTACACACCTGCCATCATTTAAAGTGACTAAGTAGGTCTTTCCTGACATTTTCTAAGTTGCATCCTACAGCAAAAGCCATGGTCCGCAGAGAGCTTTCAAAGCATCTGAGGAATCTCATTAGGATATCATTGTTAAAAAGGTATCAGTCAGGAGAAGGGTGCAAAAGAATTTCCAAGGCATTAGATATACCATGAAATACAGTGAAGACAGCCATCATTAAGTGGAGAAAATATGGCGCAACAGTGACATTACCAAGAACTGGACGTCCCTCCAAAATTGATGAAAAGACGAGAAAAAAAAAACTGGTCCTGGGAGGCTGCCAAGAGGCCTACAGCAACATTAAAGGAGTTGCAGGAATATCTGGCAGGTACTGGCTGTGTGGTTCATGTGACAACAATCTTCCGTATTCTTCATATGTCTGGGCTATGGGGTAGAGTGGCAAGACAGAAACCTTTTCTTATGGAAAAAACATCCAAGCCCAGTTAAATTTTGCAAAAACACATCTGAAGTCTCCCAAAAGACTGAGAAAATCTGTTATGGTCTGATGAAACCAAAGTTGAACTTTTTGGCCAGAATTCCAAAAGATGTTTGGCGCAAAAACAACACTGCACAGCACCAAAAGAACACCATACCCACAGTGAAGCATGTTGGTGGCAGCATCATGCTTTGGGGATGTTTTTCTTCAGCTGAAACTTGGGCCTTAGTCAAAGTAGAGGGAACTATGAACAGTCCCAAATATCAGTCAATATTGGCAGAAAACCTTCAGGCTTCTGCTAGAAAGCTGAACATGAAGAGGAACTTCATCTTTTAGCATGATAACGAACCAAAGCATACATCCAAATCAACAAATTTGGAATGGCTTCACCAGAAGAAGATTAAAGTTTTGGAATGGCCGGGCAGAGCCCAGACCTGAAAATCTATGGGGTGTTCTGAAGAGGGCTGTGCACAGGAGATGCCCTCCCAATCTGACAGATTTGGAGTGTTTTTGCAAGGAAGAGTGGGCAGATATTGCCAAGTCAAGACATGCCATGCTGATAAACTCAAAAAGAGTGAGTGCTGTAATAAAATCAAAAGGTGCTTCAACAAAGTAATAGTTCAAGGGTGTGCACACCTATGCAACCATATTATTTCATTTTTTTATTTTTACTTCCCTCCAAGGTTACATTAACCACTTGCTCTGCAGAGGATTTAACCCCCTTCCTGACCAGGCCATTTTTTGTGATATGGCACTGCGTTACTTTAACTGACAATTGCATGGTGATGCAACGCTGCACCCAAATGAAATTTACATGGCGGTATGGATACTGGATTTTTTTTTTTTTTTTTTTACTAGTAATGGTGGCGATCAGCGACTTATAGTGGGTCTGCGGCAGGCATTCTGACACTGGAGGGAAACTGACTTGGTGTTACTGACATCCCCAGTGACACCACTACAGTGATCAGCACTGGCACTGTACTATTGGCACTGGGCAGGAAGGGGTTAGCATCTGGGGTGATCAAAGAGTTAACTGTGTGCTGTTTCACTGTGTGTTGGCTTCAATGTAAGCACACTGCTTTGTATGGCTCTGCTATGCAGAGCCATACAATACAGTGTGCAGGAGCTGACGGGAGAGATCTGCATTGTTTACACACAAGTCTCTCCCCCGTTGGAGATACTCGGCGATCACCAGGTGCTGGCCAGTAATCATCGGCCAGGAACCGGTGATTAACAGCCAAGGCCACGGATGGCGGCGTGGGTCGGGTGTGCGCGCCCCTACCCGGAAATGCAAAATCACGTATATGTTACACACACGTGATTTTGCACACCTGTGCCGCCCTGTAGCAGTATTTCCGCTATAGGGTGGCGTGGAAGCAGTTAAATGTGGAAAAGGTTCTGAAATTATTTATCTTTGTCTCACTTTTTTACATCATAGAAACCTGACATTTTAACAGGGGTGTGTATACTTTTTATATCCACTGTAGGTTGTAAAGATGATTGTGTCCATGTAAGCCTCCACTGATTTTAATATCTCTATATATAAAGAAGTTACTCATGTTTTATGCAGAAATAATGCCATTCAGCTAAAAGTATCCAAATCTCGATCTGCATGTACAGATGTGTGTGGCGACGTCAGCGCGTGTAGTTCCACCAAAAGCATTTCGTCAACTGTGACACCAGGAACTAACTTGCTTCATGAGGTGAATAAGGAAGGATGTGGAGCCTTACATGGGTACAGCTGTCTTTACAACACAATAGCCATGCTATTCATGACCACTTAGACTCGGGGTCATACCATTTTGGTGAGCGTTCACTTGTTGCACAGAGGTGGAGTGGATTCACTTGGATGATTGCATGCTTGGAAAAGATTATTTATCTTCACTGGCATTTAACAGTGAACTGAAGATTTTCGCGACTGATTTTTAACTTTGAATTTTTTTCACTGTCAAATTGTTTTTATACAATATTTATACGAAAGTGGATGAAGTCATGAACACTATTTATATTGGTTGTACATGATACATTATTTTAGGGAATTAGCTCAGTGTTGCAATATAAACATGTATACATGCATAAGAGCATAAATTACAGCCCTTAAAAACGTTATGGTTCTGTACTCAACGTTCTATTACTGATCTTTACCCAGCTGTGTGTATTGTTCTGCAGACAACAATACATTGTGTTCTGTGTTTCAGTAAAAAATGTGTACACTCCCATGTACAAGAGGCCTGAAAATGGCCTAGGTAGGTATATATACTAAGAAATAAGTTAAGAAATAGAACCACATGGGTAGGCACAAAATATTTAAAAAATTGAAGTGTATTAGTTATAATACACAGTGTACAAATATGCTTTACATATGTATATGCATAATATAACAGGAGAAAAAAAAATAGCATAACCTCACCCTGGCAATGCAGAAATCTCTGGGATTTTCTTTCTCCATACCATATTTTTCCAGTGCTTCAATAACAGCAAAATCAGCTGTATCATTTGTTGACAACAGTATAGTTTTGTATGGAATGTTTGGCTTTAAGCTGTCCGCATAAATTCTCAATGTCCCACCTGAAGAAAAAGTAAATGAATAAATAAAATTAGGATTAAACAAAAACATAAAAATGATAAAAAAAAACCTGTATTAACAGCAGCAGTGGTTTCTATTGCCAACAATACATAATTAGAATATGAGACTAACCTGCAGTTCATTTAAACCTAGCACTATAGAAAAGCTTAATGTCATTGCTGAACTGGTTTCGAAGTAGCCATATCATTGTTAGTCTGATGCTATGGTATCATCATACCTCAACTTTGGAACTTAAGAAAATGGGAAACTAATTGGTGGGAGAAAAAAATATGTCTCCATAGCTTTCATAAAAATAATGTCCTGGGCATTGGTAGGAGCAAGCATTCTTCAGCAAGTACACACGTAGGGGGCCTGAGGGCCCAGCAGCTCAAGTGTCCAGAGCTGCCCCGCTCCACTACAGCTTCCTTAACCGGTGGTAGAACGTGGTGGAGCATGGTTCAGTCAAACTTAGTGAAGGGCTGCATCTTGCATCACTGAGTCGGGATCAGAGCTTGGTTGGTCAGTGGTGGTGAAAAGGAAGGGGGGAGCTTTCGTGGACCGGCCTGCCCATTGAATGTGTAGGTGCTACATTGCTGCTGCACAATCCCTATACCTGTGAGCTGAACTGATGTTTTTGGACTGTCTCTTTGCTGGATTGGGCTGTATCTTTGCTATATGGGGATGTCTCTGCTGGACTGGGCCATCTCTTTGCTGGATTGAAATGAAATAGCCATGTGAAGGAAGGTAGGGTGAACATTTTACCTCCACCTTCCTTTACATGCCTATTTCACTCTGAAATGGGCATGTAAAAAGGGAAGGCGAACTGAAATGTAGTGATGGCACCTTTCACACGGGGCGGACCCATAAGCAGATCCACTGGCTCAGTAGGTGATCTCCCCGCTGACTCCCGCGGAGCAAGCGGATGACAGGTCCACTGATGCAGAGGGGACACAGTGTGCTGATCTCTAAGGGGCAGTTGGATGGATGCCAGCAGGTGAGAATGGATACATGCCTGCTGACATCCACAGCTTCACAGAGAGAAATGAGGAGTCCGATTGGGTCCGCCTGAAAAATGGACAGGCGGACACTGTGACGATTGTGTTCAATAGAGACATGGACGGTGTACGTGACAGCCATCTTGTTAGGTCTCAGCCATGTTGTCTCTCCTGTCCTCCCTCCTCCCTTTTGAATGGAATTTATAGCTGTAAGTTGAACAGAGGTCAAAAGGGCCTCTTATCCTAAATAAAACACAGCTAGATAAAGCTCCAGGGCTGTAAACCGCTAATTAGTCTGGTTCAAGGGGTCTCCTTTGAAAACCACTTTCCTCTGCCCAATCGTAAAACAATGACTCAGTCAGTCATGACCTGTTAGGCCATTAGGGATAGAGCGTGCCATAAAAACGTACATTCCACATGAGACATTTTTCATACAATTCATAAAGTTCAGCAGGAACTTGGCACATTAATATTAGGTATATATTTGGATAGATCGTTTTAATATGAGTCACACAACACCTTACATGACTATATCAGCACCTACAAGAGAGACGAAAGCAGTCTTTCCTCCTGGGCAATAAAGGTACGCTGTGTTTAGTATCCCTGCGTTTGAAATATAATTCTGAATAATAATCTGCCAGTTGCTAGGATGTTACCTGTACCTATTGGAGGTTATTAACCTTAGTATGAAAAGGCGATTTGGTCATAACCTTGGTTACCGCCTAAGATCCATCCCCACAATGGATGATTGGTCATCTGTTCTCAGGCGACACCCCTTTAATATGATAGAAAAAGACTGACATGCTGGAGGAAAGACAGCTCTCGTTTAACATCAATCAGGAAACACCTAACAGACTTGAGAGCCAAGGCAACCATTTTGTTCGGACAATTGGATTCTGCTCAGTCCAAGGACATTGCAAGTATTCTGCCTTCTGAACTCCTTGCTTTTATTTCTATGTTGTTTTATTGCGCTCTTTATATCTTTATAACATCTTTTCTGTAAATATTTTAATTGCACCATTTTGACCTTTTAAGTAATACATCCTGTTTTGAAAAGTGTTGAAAACTGTCTCTAAAGCTTTAATGCAAACTAAGGAATCCCTGTCTCTTGAAAAGTGCTACTGTATGTAATAATCCTCTGAATATATATCTGTCTGTGGTGGCAGTGTGTACTAGAGACGCTCATGCTAATATAGTGTTCCTGCTAGGATCTGCGAGTTTCCTCCTTCTCTGTAAAAAGGCGGTGGTGGCCGTGTGAAGGGTTAATTGCGTAATTAACTTGACCCAGTAACAATCACTCTCAGGCTGCTGGCACATAGATTGTAGTCCCGCAAGCTGGAAAATATTTGTGCAGGGCACAGCTGAGAGTGGCATTGTTACGCAAGTGAAAGTCTGCCAGTGTGAAAGGGGCCTTAACTGTTAAATCTTGAAAGCACTGATGACCTGGAATACACTCTTCATTTTCATATATTAATTTGAAAGTGTGTTAAAATAAAAGTGGGTGCAATGAAGAAATTTCTGATGGCTGCCCTGGCTGGACAGCTTGAACCACAAATGATAGCTCCTCATGGATACTTAGGCATACTAAGCACAGCACTTGCAACTACTCCCCTCCTCATACACCCCACTCCCCTCCATCATCACCACAGTGGCTATATGAAGGCAACCAAAATTTGTTTTCCTTTCCAGGAAGCTAAAAGTATAAAAACAGCAAGTTTAAATTATTTTTTTTTTTTTAATGTGACAAGCAATTTAGCATCCTGGTGAGTTTTGTAAATCATGGACGCCAACTATAGTACTAGTACACTGCTAATTAAACTAATTAAAAGAAGGAACATAGTGGAACATTTACTTTCCTTTATTCCTACCCCTAATATAAGCTGGCAATTATGCATTATTTATCAATTATTCAGACCCAAAACCTACTTTTCAATGTCTAATTATAGTAATAAAAATAAAATCTCCTAGATTGTAAGCTCCAAGGAGCAGGGCCCTCCTCCCTATCCCTCTTGTATTGAACTGTATTGTTGCTGTATTGTCTCCCAATATATTGTAAGCGCTGAGCAAACTGTTGGCGCTATATAAATCCTGTATAATAAAAAAAAAAAAAATAATAAAATGGTACAGTAAGTGTTTAATTACCAGAGTCCGGGCGGCCATCTGAGCTTCGAAACTCCTGCATCCTCTTCTCTAGTTTCTGCTGTCTTCGTCGCTTCATAACTACTTCTGGATTGGATATTGTGCGGGTAAAACTTGTTTCTGGCATGTCTTTGTAAACTTCTGCAGCCAGGCGTGAATTTTCACTAGTAAAAAGCATTTTTACATTTTAAATTCCATTTCCTCGTAAACCCCTTAACATATATAAATTAAAGGAATAAAAAAAAAAAAACTAAGAAAAAGTTCTCTTTTCGTGAAAGTAAACTGCACTGGACAGAGACAGGATGCACAGAAATACACACACAAAAAGTACCAATGACATACACCAGTGTTAACAGTTAATTACAGCAGTTTACTCCTCTCCTCCTCCATAATCAAAATTGCCATTTTCTATTTCTGTGTTTATTTAGGTTTTTTAAAATTTTCACTTTGACCCTGCCTCTGCCACCATTTGGCCCTAGGCCATAAGGCCATGTCCCTGATCCTGCAGGCTTCTGGAATATTCAGGTCACATCCTCCAAGAGGCTGGGGACCACAGGCCACAAGGCGGGCTTAGCACATCATCAGGAGCTGGCTATCTAAACTCAGAAGAGGCAGCCAGCCGAAGAGAACTAAGATAATGGCACAGGACCCCAGCTACATCACCAGAGCAGCATATAACAGCAGGATAAAGCTGGATGCAATATGCAAGGGAGCATGAATTTTGGAGATAACTCAGGAATACAGGAAAAAAAAAAAAAAAAAAACACTTCATCTTAAAAAAATCTAAATCTTTAAATAAAAGACTTGCATGCATGAAGCAAACCCCCACATACACACTTAGGGCCCTTTCACACTGATGTATTTGTGCAGCATTTTTACCTTGCTAAACATTTTTAAAGGAAAAATGCAACAAACATATTTCCGTTTGAACCCTACGGGACTCTTCAAATCACTGCACTGCAGTTGTGGTGTGTATTGAAAAGGCCTAAATGCTGCATTTTTGGTGCGCTTTTCAAAACCAAGAAATCATAAAAAAAAGTCTCAGTTGCATTTTTGAGTCACATCTCCATGTCTCAATGGTGCATGCCAACCAGAAAACACCCAAGGAGTCCAAGATAAATATTTTTTTTATGTTTTTTTACAGAAGTTAAAATTAGAAAAAGTATAAGTCCATATATTTGGACACAGGAACAATTTTTATACTATTGGCTCTGTATGCCACCAGGATAAAACTAAAATGGAACAATCCAAATGAATTTGAAGTGCACACTTTCAGCTTTAATTCAAGGGGTTGAACATAAATGTCAAGTACAAATTTTAAATTTTTTTTTATACACAGTCCCTCCATTTTCAGGGGCTCAAATGTAATTGGACAAATGAAAATAATCATAAATAAAATGTTCATTTCGAGTATATTGTTGAGAATCTTTTACTGGCAATGACTGCCTAAAGTCTGGAACCCATGGACATTACCAAAGACTGGGTTTCCTCCTTTCTAATGCTTTGCCAGGCTCTAACTGCCGCTGTCTTCAGTTGTTCTTTGTCTGTGAGTCTTTCTGCCTTCAGCAAGTGAAATGCATGCTCAATTGGGTTGAGATCAGGTGATTGACTCGGCCATTGCAGAATATTCCACCTATTTTCCTTCAAAAGCTCCTGGGTTGCATTTGCGGTGTGTTTTGGACCAATGTGTAATAATTAACCCATGCCTAGGACAATCAAATCAACAATACACCCCCGACAATGAATACAAACATTAAATAAACCTGTTAATAGGCTTCTGCTTCTATACAGGTAAATCCTGCTAATGATTCTGTTTTGGATCATTGTCCATCTGTATTGTGAAGCGCCGTCCAATCAGCTTTGCTGCATTTGGCTAAATCTGGGCTGACAGTAGATCTCTAAACACTGCAGAATTTATCCGGCTGCTTCTTCTGTCACATCATCAATAAACACCAATGACCCAGTGCCACTGGAAGCAATGCATGCCCATGCCATCACACTGCCTCCACCATGTTTACAGCTGAAGATGTGTGCTTTGTTCCTTGAGCTGTTCCAAGCCTTCACCACATTTTTTTCTTCCCGTCATTTTGGTACAGATTAATCTTCGTTTCATCCGACCAAAGGATGCTTTTCCAGAACTGGTCTGGGTTTTTTTTTCTTAAATGTGTTTTGGCAAAGTCGAATATGGCTTTTCTATTCTTCAGGCTTATGAATGGTTTGCACCTTGTGGTGAACCCTCTGTATTTGCTCTCGTGAAGTCTTCTTGTGCTTGTAGACTGACAATGATACGCCCACCTCCTGGAGAGTGTCCTTCACTTGTCTGGATGTTGTGAATGGGTTTTTCTTTACCATAGAGAAGATCCTGCGATCATCCACCACTGTTGTCTTCTGTGGACATCCATGCCTTTTTATGTTGCTGAGCTCACCAGTGCGTTCTGCTTTCCTCGGAATGTACCAAACTGTTGATTTGGCCACTTCTAATGTTGCTGCTATCTCTCTGATGGATTTGTTTCATTTTTAAAACCTTACAATGGCCTGTTTCACTTACATGGACAGCTCCTTTGAACGCATGATGTAGGTTCACAGCAATAGATTCCAAATGCAAATACCACACTTAAGAATCAACTCCAGACCTTTTACCTAATTGATAAAGAAATAACGGCGTAGCCCACACCTGGCCATGAAAAAGCTTTTGATTCAATTGTCCAATTACTTGGTTCCTTGAAAAAGGGGGGATGGCTACTCTTAAGAGCTGTAATTCCTAAACCCTTCCTCCAATTTGGATGTACATACCCTCAAATTAAACCTGTGAGTGTGCACTTTCAGCCCATATCCACAATATAACTGTAGCTTGAATATGTTTTAGTAAATACCTGAAAAAACTAAAATTGTGCCTGTGTCCAAATATATGGACCTAACTGTATTTGCAAATGTGCAACAAAAACGGTTAGTGCGTTTTTTTTTTTTTTTTTGCTGGCTACCTGGTTAAGTGTGCTAGGAAATACATTTTGCTTTTTTCTCTGTGACATGTCCTCTAAAAGCTAGTTATACATTGGAGCAGTTACCATGTTTGTTTAGCATTTAACCATCGATGACACAAACTTCTGCCAGGGTGTGGTGCTTACTGAGAAGGCCAAGACCAAGGACTTGGTACATGCAAACCTCCTGCATATTTAGGAAATACCAAGTGAAATTTAACTTCTGCAAAATGTCCACTGTAGCAGCAAGATGACAGAAGAAACTGTTCAGGCAAAGTATACCACAGAAACTTACAGCACTGTGGAGAAAGGGCACCAGAGAACAGCAGAAACACTGGAAAATATACTGGAGGTTGGACAAATGGCTTGCAGAAAACATACTGTGGACCATAACAGTAAAAATAGTGAAGAACATAATGTCTGAATAGGAAATGTAGTGCAGATAGATGAGCAGAAAACAGTGTGGTGAAGTCGGCTGCAAAGAACATAGCAAAGATTAGGGGGACGGGGGGTTGGCACAAAAGAAAGTGTTGATTGCAGATGGGGCTGCCATAGGCTCTGTGGCAGCCAAAGAAAATATGAAGAGAAATGCCATAAAATGCACACAATAGGAGGTAAGCTGCCAGAGAATAATATGTGGACAGTTGAATGTGTGGGCCAAAAAAACGTAGTGCAGACCATGGGAGGGCTGTCAAAGAACATAATGTGGAAGCAGAGGAGATGTCAGAGTGCAATACAGAAAGTGTAGCGTTGTGACAGAAACTATTATAGACACTGGAAATTGAGAAGTGGGTTGCAATGTGCAGAATTTTGAGGGGAAAACAGGGAGAATTTACTATGACTGGAGCAGACCGAATGTGGAGCAGCTGTGCATGGCAACCAATCAGCTTCTAGCTTTCCTGTTTAAAGCTTAACTGAACAAGCTGACACTAAAATCTGATTGGTTATTAGGCACAGTTACTTAACCATAAATCCCACCCCTCCCCATGTGTTGGGGTCACAGACATGCAAAATGAAAAACTGTCTCATCCAGGGTGTGTTACCTACTCCGTGAAACATATGAGTGCGAGGGGATTGGTCAATGTGTTGATGTCCCCTCCTCACTGCTTGCTTTAAACCTCAAAATGCCATGACTCATTCATGTGTGTGGTGGCAGTACCGCCTGCCAAATGCGACATGCTATTTAGGCAAAGCAGCCACAGCATGAGTACAGCCTTAAGCGGCTACATTGCTGTGTTAGAGTGGGTGGTCAGAGGAGTAGATCCACCGCCTGCACTATCTGCCTCTCGGCCACATGAACGAGCCATTACATGGCAAACAACCACATGCAACCTGCAACACATTTACCCGCAGTAAACAAATTAGCAGCTGAATGAGTTTTTAGTCAGTTTAAATTTGCAGAAAAAAAAAAAAAAACACACATGATGATGCTAATCTATAAATGATAATGTGCCTTGATACAAATGCATATACAATGAAAAAATACTTTTTTGTGGAAAATGAAAACAAAATGTCTTGCAACACACACTTATTAGTGGTGACAAACGCACAGCCTGCCAGCACTCTGTGTGTGCTGCTCTCTGTCTGCATGATGCCTTCTGTCTCCTTACTAGTGCCCTCAGCGATCATCTATAAAATTAGACTCATTGATAGCAGCAGTTTAGCGTCTGTGTGCACACAGCCAGGGAGGCAGCTCTGTGTGTGAGAACAGCTCCTCCTGATCTTTGCCTATTACAGTGCAATGCGCATTACTGAAATGTATATTTGTAAAGATGGTCTTCTAACTACGTTCTGTATTAGGGCTAGTAACACATGTTAAAATGCGAATTTTACCATGCATTGCAGCAACATACTCAACTAAATGCAAAGCACAGCAGTGCCACCTAATTTGAATGGCACCGCGATGTGCATAAACAGCACATTACAATACACCTGCATATTTTGGTGCACCACAGTGCACAGATATGAACCATCTCTGTGGTGTGATGTGTTGTGGTGTGCGGTCTTGAAAAAATGGTGCAGCTCTATTTTTCAGTGCACCGAGGTGCTAGCAGTCAGAACATATACCATTGTGTGCCCTTTGTCAAAAGCTGTGCTTGAAGCTTTCTATATTTCAAAAGGTAACCACCACTGATGGATACACTGATGGAGGCTAAAGTTATTT